CACCAAGCACTGTCCATCTGCTTGGTCAGCAGGCGCATCTGAGTACCTGTGAGTACCCAGGCAGGTCCAGACTGCTGGATATTACAAAACCAGGGGGTAGTTGCTGTCCTTGAGGAATATCAACAAGGGGGAGGAGGGACAGATCTATAACAGTAAAATGAACCATGGGCTAGCTGCCCAGGGAGACAAGGAGGACTTCGCAGTGGAGGGGACTTTAAAGCTAAGGGTGAGCAGGAGGCAGATAGACCCAGCACAAGCATTTCCAATAAAGGAAACAAAGGTCAAGGCTCAGAGAAGTGGATCCAAGTGGCTCAATATAGGCTCAGTGGAAGAGCTTCAAGGTCAGGTGGTGGCACTAGAGAGGTAGCCTGAGACTTCCTAGAGCCTGTAAGCACAGCAGAGAGTTTATACTCTGTCCCCAGTGATGGAGAGCCTTGAGGACCTTAAATCCAGCACCACCTGGTTGACTCTGTGCATCAGAAAATGTACTGTAAGGGCCAGCAGGTGGTGTGGTGGTTAAAGGTGCTGGACTCCTACATGGCCAACCATGGTTCAAGTCCTGGACCTGATGGCTTGCTTTCTCACTTTCCCTCTCTCTGATCAAACTAGAAAATAATAATAATAATAAATAAATAAGGTTAAATAAAATAATTATTAAAAAAAAAAAAAAAGAAAATGTACTGTAGAGATAGTTAAATGGTGCAGCCCGACCTTCCAAGGATGAAGGGCTAGGAAGTAATGAGCTGGTCTGAAATACTTGAGCTTCTTGGACTGGGCTCTACAGAGGCTTTCCGCCATCAGAAAGCTTGCTCTATGGAAAACTGAAACCAGAAAGGTTAAATAACTCAGCCAACATCCTGCAGCAAGAAGGGAGACCTAGCCTTCAGACCCAAGACAGATGGACTTCCCTCAGAGCTGGCTCTTCCCCATTGTGCCGTGCTTTACCGGCCATGCTATGGTGTCGTATCTGCAGTGAGGCGGCAGCAGGAGCAGTGGTTCAAAGTGGTTTCTTTGCTGTGATGTGCTCCCAGGAGGTGGATGAGCAGGGGGTGTCAGAGAGAGAGAGCTGGTCTTTCTCTTCTCCTTCCTTTTCCTTACCAGCTCTTCAGCGATGTGGCCTATAAAGCCCGAAACCGGGAAGACCTTATCGCAGGAATTGATGAGTTTCTGGATGAGGTCATCGTCCTTCCCCCTGGAGAATGGGACCCAAATATCCGAATTGAACCCCCCAAGAAAGTGCCCTCTGCTGACAAGAGGTGTGTGTGAGTAAAGGGCAGGGAGGCAGGTGGAGGGACCAAGACGGCTTCTACTCTGTTGGTATCATTCTATTTCTCTTAAACAAAAGTTGGAAGCAAATATGGCTGAATGAATATTTATAAAATCTGGATGACTTGTGTATGGGTATTGTTAGCGTATTTTTCTCTCTTAAGATATTCTATAATTTTTGTTGGAGAGATGAAGGGTGTTCTGGAGTAGTCCTGGAGGGGCTGGGCCCTTCCCAGGATTGGTGGCTCCACTCTCCCCAACCTCTTCCCTTCTAGGAAATCTGTGTTTTCCCTGGCCGAGCTGGGCCAGATGAACGGCTCTGTGGGAGGAGGAGGAGGAGCAGCTGGAGGAGGCAGTGGTGGCGGCGGCGGAGCTGGCAGTGGTGGAGCTGGAGGAGCCAGCAGTGGAGATGATGGGGAGATGCCAGCTGTGCACGAGATCGGAGAAGAGCTTATCTGGACAGGAAGGTGCCTGCCCAGGCCTGACAGAGACCCTTGTCTTGTAGACTTCTCTCCTTCTCTCCCATCCTTTAGGGACCTTCCTTGCCATTGCACGTATCACCCACTCGATGCCATGCGGTCTATTCTTTCCCTCCTCACATCATCAGGGTCCCTCTGGATCCCACACAAATGTTGCCTATGGGGCCAGCAGGTGGTGTCATGGTTAAGGCGCCAGACTCGCACATGTTTGATCTTGGTTCAAACCCAGACCCAGCAACTTGAAAATCACACTGGGCTCGTGTGTGTGTGTGTGTGTGTGTGTGTGTGTGTACCCAAAATCCCAAGAGGAGAATGGAGGAGAAGGGCTAGCAGCATGGCCATCCCCTCTGGGAGATAGTTTCTCACTTTCCCTCGCTCTATCTCTCTCTTCAGCAAACACACACACCCTATAGCAAAAACCTTTAAAAAAATAAAAATAAGAAGTGTTGCATAGGGCAGGGAACCCAAGGCCAATCAGGAGTGGAACGCTTTTCTCCAGACATCCATTGCTACCTGCATTTCTTTCCTGGGGCTGCCACATCAAAGAAAACTGGGTGGCCAAAAATTGCAGAAAGTAATTCCCACACAGTTCTGGAGGCCAGGAGCTCCAGATCGAGGAGCTGGCCACGCTCGGCCCCTCTCAGACTGGGTAGGAGCTTCCCTGCCTCCTCTTGCCTTCAGAGGTTGGCGACGACCCTCGGTGCCCCTCCACTTGCAGCTGCCTCACTCATCTCTGCCTCTGTCTCCTTTCCCTGCACGACTCTGTCTACACCTAGTATTTTCCTCTTCTTGTAAGGACACTTGTTTCCTTGGATTAGGGCCTACCCTAATTTCATCTTAAATTGATTGTATCTATAAAGACTGTATTTCCAGATGAGGTCATATTCATAGGTATTAGGGGTTAGGACTTTAATATACATTTTTGGGTGACACAATTCAACCCATAGCACAGCCTTTAAGAAAAGAGGAAAGAAAAAAAAAATGTTACCTATTCGTACCTTTTCTTTCCTTCTTTTTCAAATTTGCCAGAGGGTATGTGTGCTCACTAGAGAGAGACACAGAGAGAGGGAAAGTGAGAAAACACCACCACAAGGGGATGGTCCCTTCTCCTCTATTTCTCCCGTCTTTCAGGATTTTGGGCACACACATACACACACACACACACACACACACACACACACACACATCACAGTGCATCTCAAGCTACCAGGTCCAGGACTCAAACTGTGCAGTCCACCATGTGGGATCTGCTGCCTCAACCACCACAGCATTGACTGGACCTATTTAAACCTTTTCTTTTATGAAAACAAGCGAAACTTGTCCTGGTCTGGGTTTCTTTGCCAACTCTTAGAGTAATTCTGGTTGAACTTGACTTAGGAAAGGACCTGGCCTTTCAAAGCTACATATAAATCATGACTTTGAGGATGAAGCCATGTCTGACCTGCCCAGGGCTCTCTCCCGTAGTTCTCAACTGGAAGCAACTTGGCCTCTCCTTCCCTTTCCCCACTCCTCCATCCCCCAGGCCAGTGGGTTTGACAGTATCCAGAGACATTTTTGTTTGTCGCCATGGAGGGGAGGTGCTACTAGGTGGAAGCTAAGGATGCAGCTACATGTCCCCCGGTGCACAGGACAGTCACCCACGGCAGAGCTTCACCCAGCCCAAAATAGCAGTAGTTTGAGGCCGGGAAACCCTGCTCATGCTAGGGACTGTGTAAGGAGCTATAGGGAGTAACATCCCCGTAAACACTAAAATTATTCAGACTGAAATTCCCCACTGGGTTGTTCTAGAGAACAAAGAAACCAGGTGGGAGAGTTTGGGTCTCCCCTTGATGGATCTGTGTTATAACCTGGGATGTCTCGGTCTCCTCGAGTTGAATACCCAACAGGAACTTTAAGTCCTCCAAGAATTCATCTCTGGTCCTAAATGTTCTGGTGCAAAGGCCCTTGTCCCGATCTTTCCCTGGCCAGGCCCCCTTCCTTGTCCCAGACTCCTAGGCCCCAGGGAATAGCCTGCCCCCGCAGAGGTGTTTGCGGGAGAGAGCAGCTCCTGGGCCTGTCTCGAGCAGGTTCTTCGGTGGACTGTGTCTGGATATCAAGAGGAAGCTGCCCTGGTTCCTAAGTGACTTCTGTGATGGCTTCCACATCCAGTCCATCTCTGCCATCCTATTCATCTACCTCGGCTGTATCACCAACGCGATCACCTTTGGCGGGCTTCTGGGGGATGCCACCGACAACTATCAGGTGAGTGTGAGCCCTCGTGAGTGCAGACTTCGGTAAACTCTGCCGCCACCTGGGGGCAGTGAGGAGCTTCCTCGCGAAAGGCCAGGGTCAAGGTTTCATCTCTCATCCAGGTTAAAGCCACTGTTTTTTGTAATCCTTAACTTTTTAGGGGGAAAAATAATAATCCAGCAGTATTAGAAGAAGTCAATGTAAACCGTGTTACTAAAGAGCACATTTAAGGATGATTTAAATAGGTCAAGTTTGTAAGGAATATCACCTACTTTCTTACTTGGTACTTTTCCCACTGATACGTGAATGAACTTCATGGCACAATTAATTGAGTTGCTAATTGTGGCCTTTTCCCCACACTTTTTTAACCAACCTTGAATTCTTCAGCGTTAAGATATTTTTAGAAGGATGGTAACCTGTTACCATGGCAACATAGGCCTCCCTGGGAAAACAGCTCTGCAAAGACCATCTCCCAGGCAAGAACCTTCTCCAATGGAGGCCTTCAGGATAGAACCATTGGAAAGCTAAGAGCCCCAAGGAGAAGACCCATTGTTACAGAAAAATAGAGATGAAAGCCTCTTGTCAGCCCATGCCTCTTTCCCGAGCTCAGGTCTAAGGTCCAGTGGCCTCCTGGGCGTGTCCATGTGATTGTTCCCCAGGATCCTCCAACATCTCGTACATGTTCTTCCCTCCCAGTCTACTGTTCCTGGCCTTCCCCAGCATAACAAATGACACCATGGCTCAGAGCTGCCCACGCCAGTCAGCCTCGCCCTTGATTCAGCAAGCCCAGCTTCCCGGCATGGTCCTACCTGCCTTCTCTTCCTCAGCACCCTGCTCAGTCTACACCCTGTTTCCTATCAATTCCAGTCATCTTTCAGTTGCTCAAAGACACAGTCCTTTTCAGTTCCGGCTCTTATAATCTCTGTTCCCTCTTCTTAGGACTATCTTTATTGTCACTCCACCTTAATCTGTCACCTGTCCAACCCCTGCTCATTTGGAGGGGTCTCAGCTTCCAGTATTCACTTCTAAGAAGGCCCTCCTGACCCCATCACTCCTACTGTGCACGTCTGTGGCACCCTGAGCCTATCCTGACTCATCGCACTCCTTGGCAGTGGCTCTCAACCAGGGTCAATTCTGACTCCTGGAGACAGTTGGCAATATCTAGAGATGGTTCTGGTTGTTATAACCGGAAGGGAGGTTGTTACTGGCATCTAGTGGATAAAGGCCAGGGCTGCTGCTAAACATCCTATAATACACAGAACAGACCCTACAACAACGGATTGTCTATGCCAACATGACAACAGTGCTGAGGTTGAGAAACCCTACTGTGTGGAAATTGTCTGGTTTCTTGTCTGTATCTCCCAACAGGATGAAGGTGTGTTATCTTGTTCCCCAGTGTATCCCAGTACAGGCGCAAGGCCTGGCACATAGCAGGCACTTAATGAATTGTGAATGAATGAGTGAATGAATGATCTGACCTTTAAAAGCACTAGATGTTTGAAGGAATGATTAATTAGATGGATGTATGAGCTATCTTGTAGGAGTAGATTGGACCTAGGGACACTCACATTTACTGTTTGTGTCCCTGCCAAAAGAAGTCACATGGGACCTTTATCCAAATGGAATTAGAGTAACACTGGCCATGGTGGCAAGTGGTGGACTAGGAGATGGGGGACAGAGTTTGGGGAGGAGAGGGCCCTGAACAAAGGGTGAACACCATGGCCTGGCCCTGGCAGAGACAGCTGGGCTGCAGCCTGTATGGAGAGGCCCCTCCTCTTGCCTCCGCTGAGCCTCTCCCTCCTCATGCCCTCAGGGAGTGATGGAGAGCTTCCTGGGCACTGCCATGGCTGGCTCCTTGTTCTGCCTCTTCTCGGGACAGCCCCTCATCATCCTCAGCAGCACGGGGCCTATCCTCATCTTCGAGAAGCTCCTCTTTGACTTCAGCAAGTAGGTACCCCATGTTGGCCTCAATGCCTGCTCACACACTTGAGGTAGTATGCTCAGGCCAGGGTAGGGGAACAGGCCCAGAAAGGAAGCAGGGGTGAGGAGGTGCCAAAGCCATCTTTCACTGAGAGGAAGGGCTGCCACGCAGTCCCTCCTGGCTCCTGCCAGCTGCCTGCCAGTCAGCCAGCTCAGGTGCACGTGTGGAGAAATCTAGGTGAGACCAGAGGAGACAGGTCACACCACTTTGCTCGTGAGCCGTCGTGACTTGATCACCAGCACAGGGGATGACAAGTCTTGGGCTGGACGTCAGAGGTTCCACGCAGACCCAGACAGCAAGTGGCACCCGTCCAGGTTCACGTGCCTCTTCCAAACCAGGGTTTAGACTAGACCGTGTCTAAGCCTGCTCTAACCCTGCTATTCTGCCATCCCTGTTTCTCACTGATTCGGAGTGTCTGTTACTAACTCTGGGAGCACTGAGATGTCTTGGCTCCTTCCTGCCACCCCGTGAAATCCTTTCCCAGAATCCTCAAAAATCAAACAACCCCACCCAGGAATTATCCCTGTGCCCAGCCCTCTTGCAGTCCCTGTGAGGACACCTGTGTTACAGGAGGGGCAGCAGAGTTCCCAGGATGAGTCTGGGAGTCGAACACTGCCAGGAGCCCTGGGCTGGAGGCCCCTTGCTTTCTCTCTGCCTTCCAGAGGCAATGGCCTGGACTACATGGAGTTCCGCCTCTGGATTGGCCTACACTCAGCCATCCAGTGCCTTATCCTGGTGGCCACAGACGCCAGCTTTATCATCAAGTATATCACCCGCTTCACCGAGGAGGGCTTCTCTACCCTCATCAGCTTCATCTTCATCTATGATGCCATCAAGAAGATGATCGGTGCCTTCAAGTACTACCCCATCAACATGGACTTCAAACCCGACTCCATCACCACCTACAGATGCGAGTGCGTCGCCCCTGACACAGGTGACCGGTAACCCCAGATGTACCCTGGCCAGTCCTTACCCATTTCCTTCACAACCACAGCTCTCTACTCAAATGCCAGAGAGAGAGTCTTCCTGGGGTGGGGGGGGTTACTCATCCAAAGGCTCACTGTTCCAAGGGAGCGAATAGGGGGTCTTGAATCTAGTTTTGGGGAGGAAACCAAGGGAAATAGAGCTCTAAGAGAGTCACTGTACTAATTCCCAGGGTTATAGTCAGGAGAATGCGTGGATGCCCTATGAGGGACAAATGCATGCTTTGCCTCAGTGTGGGGTGATGTGGGTACCACTCCTGTCAGGGGTTCTTGCTCCAGGCCAGAGGTAGACCAAATGGTGCCTAAAGTCTCTCCAAGTTCCACCAGTGCATGATACTGTGAATTTCTCCCAACACACAGCTGCCAGTGTGGGCACACATCTTGTGAGGTGAGACCAAGCAGAGGGTTGAATAGCCCCTCCAACAGAAAAACTTCCAGAATGGAGGCCAGTCAACCTCATCATTTGAAGGACAGTTGGAGAACCTGGGGCTATTCAGGCTTTTAGTGTTACAAGAGGCATGAGAGGACCTCCGTGTCACAGGGCTTCATTCATCCTCTGTAACTACAGGAGTAATGAATGGAAGCTCCAGGGAGCTAGATGCTAGCTGAATTAAGGGAAGAACTTAAAAGGGTGAAAGTTATTGCCATGCAAAAAGTTGGGCTCCTTGGTTGGTATCAAGTAACTTGGATACTTCCTGGATATCCAGCAGCCCAAGATATTGTAAAAAGAATCCCCATACTGGGTAGGAGGCCAAATCAACCAACTGGTCGACCTGAAAACACTCAGTACCATTCCTGTGGAGTTACTCTGTGGTCAAAAATTGTCTAAAGCTTGGGCTTCCTATAGTCTAAACTCTAAAAGCCATTAGTGAGATGTGCCTGGAGTACACAGGATGCTACAGAGCAGAAGTAGATCCCTTTTCACATCTCCAAGCACCACCAGCTGTACTCAGAGAGAGCAAACTGAGGTCCCGAGGCCACCCAAGGTTACGCTGAACCTGTTTCCCTGACTGGAACAGAGGGATATCAGTGCTGGCCTGCTGGTTTCATGGGATTCTTTTGGGGTTTTCAAATTTATCCCCAGATGAGGTTGGAGGAAATTTGGACTGGGTTGTTCAGCCCCTTAATATATGATTACAGATAAAAACTTGATTGTAAGTTGATCAAAAATACTTGCTGCACAATTATCGTGTGTCTTACTGTAGGCTTTGTGGGAGCTTTGTGCCTTCAAGAAATTAAGGGTTGATTATATGCCCTCTCCCTCTGTCATCGCAATGATTTCGTGAAGTCTAGATGTTTTTGTCTTTCATTTTTTCTATCATTAATGTTGAGTCATTCCATTTAAATCACTGGTAGGTGAAGCTACCCTTTGTCCTGAGCCAGATCACTGCTTACTCAGATAATTGAGGAGGTCCTACCCATAGGCCCTGTTCATTCTGGCCCAGAGTGAGTCCTACCTCTGGGCCAAGCCCCATCAAGACACCCACAATTGCTGCTTGTGCCCTCCAGGCTGTGGGTTCATTTCAGTAGATTCATTTCCCGCAAACATAACTTTTAAAAGTATACATTCTTGACCTCTTTTACAAATAGTCCAAATTCTGGGGTCATAAGAAGAGTCTGGGATATTCTGAGAACTGTGTATTCACCAGAGAAACCAAACCTAGGGCTGCCCTAGGAACAGGGATATAGGAGCATATAAGGTGGGAGTTGAGGAGCGTAATGAAACCGCCTGTCTCCAGATGCCTTCTTCTCTGGCCTTGTCCAGGTACTCACTGTCACCTCTTCATTTTGGTTGTGATTTGACATGGGTCTTCCACTGTGATCCTCAGACCAACAGCATCGCACCATCTGGGAACTTGTTAGAAATGCTATTCTTGGGGACCCAGCAGATGGCATAATAGTTACATCGCTGGACTCCAACATGGTCGACCATGGTTCAAGTCCCAGACTCAATGGCTTAAAACACACCGGGCATGTGTGCGTGCAGGTGCAAAATCCTGAGAGGAGAATGGAGAAGAAGGGATGACAGCACGGCCATCCCCCCCTGGGGGGGAGGGGTGATCCCTTGCTTTCTGTCTCTCTGTCTCTCTGTCTTGGCAATCACACATGCCCTATAGCAAAAAATCTCTCTAAAAAATAAAAAAAATGAGGGACCCCCTATTCTTGGGCCCCAATCCAGACCTGCTGAATCAGAAACTGCAGTAAGCTCTAAGCAGCTGCCTATTAACAAACCTTCCAGATGATTCTGATACACGCTCAAGCTTGAGGACCACTGCTCTGCTAAACTGTCAGTTCATAATACTGAGCTCTTGGGCTGTCAGAAAAGTCATGACGTATTTTTTTCTATGTAAAAATGCAGCCTGACTTTTCTGACAGCCCAATATTTTTACCCCCTGACCCCAGTTAGGTTAGGTTTTTGAAACCAGAAAAGAATCGAAGCCAGAAGGAAATCATTTTTGTTGTTTGTTCTTGTTGGTTCTTGCGTTTTGTGAAAGAGAGAGGGAGAGCAAGAGGGTAATAAATTTTTGTTGGTCTCACATGCTGTGACCTCCCCCAGCCTCCCAGTCAGCCAGGATCACAGACACACACTGCCGTGTCCCGCCTGTTCCGCTGGTCCAGGAACCTAGGCCTCCCTGTGCTCCCTGTCTTGTGTAGCAGCACCCTAACATTTGTGCCACCATGGCCGGGCCAGAACAAGGTAGTTTAGATTAGAACAATGTGGAAGGAAACGTTCTAGACATTGGGGATACTGAGGAAGGGGAACTACCGTGAGGGTTTCTTTCCCAGTCCACGGCCGCCTGCTTACTGATTGTTCCACATCCTCGTTTGACGGTAATGCCCAGTCTGACCATGGCACTCGATCACTCTCTGTCACTCTTCATCATAGAAGCTTGTTTGGGGACCTCTCTTTCGATTTCACTTCGTTTCCATTGTAACTGATTTGTATTCTGTTTATGGATGCTGCACACACTGACTTGGCTGCTTGCAATTCCAAGTGAGTACCACTTTGTAGACACTGGAATTTTAAAATAATTGCTACGTGGACCCTTTTTGGAATGTCCCATGTTATATTTCTTCCATCTTCATCTCAAGTGACTTTTATATAGACTCTGCAAAGTTCTTGACATCAAAATAATTGATAAAGGGACCAGCAGTTGGTGTAATGGCTATGTCGCTGGACTCCCATGTAGCTGACTGTGGTTCGAGTACCGGACTCGGTGGCTTCAACTCATGCTGGGCGCGTGTGCGTGCGTGCCCAAGATCCCAAGAGGAGAATGGAGGAGAAGGGATTGCGGCGTGGCCATCCCTCCTGGGGGGCGATTTCTCACTTACTGTCTCTCTGTCTCTCTCTGTCTTCTTGGCGAGCGCACGCGCCCTATAGCAAAAAACCTCCCCCCCCCCAAAAAAAATTGATAAGCTTAAAGCCTAAGCAGAAGACAGGGAAGTCTGATCTGGGACCATTCGGGAGGGGGATGAGTCTGAGCTCCCCAGGCCCAGGCCTTACCTGGAGTTCTCTAGCGTGTGAGCGGGCAGCCCCGAGTCAGCTTCTCGTCCAGCTTCTCTATGTCTCCGTCGCTAACTGTGCATCGTGTTCTCGTGGTCAGTGATGTGAGGAAAAGCAATGATCACCCCCATTTCCAAGAAGGGAAGTTTTCTTCAGAACAGTCCTAACACACCTCTGGGTTTGTAGAGCTGGGACTATTCTGCCTGACATCAAGATGAAATTCCTTCTCCACTCAGCGCCAGCCACCCCGGAAGTGAGCAAACGAGCAGGGCCCTGGGATCACATCCATTCCCGTGGACAGCTTGTTGGAGGGTGGGAAACCTCAAGCTTAACCTCTTCTCTCTGGGTTTCTAACCAACAGTAGACAGCCAGCAGGAGCCAAACGGGGCCTGCGATGCATTGCAGACCTAATGCCAGCCACCTGGCAGGTGGGCCAGGTCGTCCCTCCCACTCTCCCCAGCTCTGCTGCAGGGGACCTGCTGGCCTGCCTTCATCTGGAGGCAGGTGAGGAGAGCCTGGCCTTCTCCTCCACCCACGCAGTTCAGGAGGAAGAGCAAGGGAAGCGGCGGTCCTCCAAAACCTGCCTGTCAACGAATGCATCCTGGGGGGAGCCATGAGTGAGGAGCTGGGAGGAGAGCGAGTAGAAGGGGAGGGCAGGATCCACACAGAAACGAGAGGAGGCGGGCACGGTTTATGTCAGCTCTCCTCATGGCTCCCGAAGGCATCCTCAGTGTTCCACTTACAGTTAGGGACTCCGAGGTCAGGGAAGGACAGCGCCTGGAAGGGATGGGGTGAACAGCCAAGGCAGCACCTTTGGGTTCCTGCTTCTCCTTAGGTCCTGGACCTGGGTTTAACTTCCTCAGTTTGTACCCAAGGGCCGATGAGAGAAGATAATATCAAAGCCAGCACGTCTTACAGGCCCAGCTGACCTAGAAAAAGCATCTACAGAGAGGAGAGGAGTGGGAGAGGACGTCTCTGCTCTGGGGGGCAGGGTGGGGAGGCTCCCTGTGGAGAACTCGGGGCCTGCCCAGGTTGGGATCACCGCTCTAAGGACGGGCTTTGTGACCTTGGAAAACAGGCAGGTTACTTAACCTCTCTGGGCCTCGGTTACCTCATGGGATTTGGGAACTTGACGAATGAATACATGTAAGGGCTTGGCAGAGTGCCAAGATGGCACAGAGCAAGTTCTTTGAAAACGTTTTTCAAGTCTAAGAGCACGGAAGTGGGTCCAGCAGCTAGGAGGGTTCACGAGGCACTTTGTTTTCACACCAGAGTCCTTGCTTCTATTTTTAAAAATCGGTGTTCAAGGCCTGCCAGTGGCATGGTGGTGAATGCGGCTGGATCCCAACCGTGCGGTTCATGTCTCAGACCTGGCAACTTGAAAAACACACTTGATGTATGTGCGTGCATGCCCAAAATCCTGAGAGGAGAGTGGAGGAGAAGGGATTGTGGTGCAGCCAGCCCCCCTGGGAGGCGCTTTCTCATTTTCCCTCTGTCTCACTCTCTGTCTCTTTCTGGCAAGCACAGGTACCCTATAGCAAAACTTTAAAAATTTAAAAATTTGGTGGGACCAGCAGATGGCGGAATGGTTACGTCTCTGGACTCCCTTGTAGTTGACTGCATTTGGAGTCCCAGACCCTGTTACTTAAACCTCACACCGGGCACATGCGCATGCGTGCCCAAGATACCAGGAAGAGAAAGGAGGAAAAAGGACTGCAGCGTGGCCATCCCCCCTAAAGGGTGCTTTCTCTCTTTCTGTCTCTGTCTCTCTGTCTCTCCAGCAAGCACATGCGTCCTATAGCAAAAATCTCTAAAATAAAAAAAGAAAAAAGAAAAAGAAAAAAACTTTAATTTTTAAAAATTAAAATAAAATCCGTGTTCAAAGGCAGGTAGGAGTCAGCCCAGCCTATCCCAGCTGACCTGTCAGAACTATGTCCAGCCAACCCTTCCCTCACTGGGGCAAAGTGAGGAAGGTGAAGGGGGGCCTGGGAGCAGAGGTGCCCTCACAATGGAGCCAGCCCTTGGCTCTAAGGAACTGGAGGAGAGGAGCAGAGGGTGGGAGCCCGGCGGGTTGTGCTCACCCCCACCCTGCAGCTGCTGACCCTTCTCCACACCGTATGTTCATCTGCAGTGAATACAACCGTGTTCAATGCTTCAGCCCCGCTGGCACCGAACACCAACGCTTCTCTGGTAAGTCCCTTCCTCTTCTGTCAGACACTCAAGGGCTGTTGCAGTGAGAGAAGCTCTGGGAAACTGACACCAGCCCAGACTCATGAGGTCAAGCCCAGCAGCACGGGGCAACCTGCAGCGCTTTGTACACGCAAACTTTCATTTTAAGGATACACCGTAAGATCCCCTTTGAAAACACGCCTCCTTCTCTTAGCTCCACGTTCATCACTACCACACACACAGAGGGGGCGTGGAGAGGTGAGGAGTGGCGGACAGGGTTGTACTAATGAAACTGTAAACTAAGTCTCCATCTTTTCCTGGCTTCCTTGTTGTTCTACCTAGGACCCCCACATCCCACCCAGCAGTGCGCTTCCCAACCCCAGAAAGTTTATTAGTGCCTCCCAGTGAATCTGATCTCTCTTCTGCACTCAGTCCCCAGGGCCCCCAAGTCTGGTCTGCCCTTCCCAGTAATGATGAACAGTGGCCTTCAGGAGCCAGCCTCCCAGCCTAAGTGCTTCTGAGGTGGGAGTTCAAATCCAGATGAGGGGTAGCACCCGGTAGGTAGGCCGTGCAGGAGTCGTGTGGGCCATCGGTCTCCTGTGATGGCCTCATAGGTTACCCTGCATGGGCAGCAGACAGCTCAGCCTACACACAGCCCCACCGGTAGATTAACCTATGACTTCCCAAATACTGGATTTCAAGGGAGGAAAAATGATGCCTATTTCTGAACACCGATATGTGCAAGGTGCTGTGTAGTCCGAGGGCTAAAAGCCATCATCCAAAAAACCAGTGTGGCTTCTGAGCTCCAACTTGTTACTAAGCTTGGGGAGATGGACCTGAAAAGTTAGGGGCGACACAGACAGAGCGTGCCAGGGGTCAGATATTGGCCAGAGGGGGACTTCTGACCATGGAGACGGGAAAGGACATTATCTAGTGAGAGGTCTGGGAAAGCCTTGGAGAGAAAGTAGAATGCAATCTGGTCTTCAAGGCTGGGAACAAGTTCGTTTGATAGACGCACATTCCAAGCCAAAGGAACAGCACAGACAAAGGGGAAAAGCACAAAAGGCTGTGGGGAGGATGGGGGTGGACTAGTATTGCTAAGATGGGGTGAGGGTGGGGGGATCGATCAGGGGAATCAGAAAAGACAAGCTAGGAAAGAGATATGGGGCCAGACCAGTGGGGCCATGGAGGAATGCTATGCTGAGGGGGAATTTCCAATTGCTTCAGTGATTGAAGGATATGGCCAGCATTCAGTAGATGGAGGCCTAGAATGCAGGGCAGTCCTTCATGTGGGATAGTTGCACACAGCAAAGAATAGTTTCTGACCTCTTGCTTGTATCGGTTATCAATTGCTGCATAACAAACAATCCTCAAACTTGGTGGATTAAGGCAGCAACAGTAATTCCATGATTTGCAGGTTGGCTGGCTGTTCTGCTGGTCTCACCTAGACTCTGTCATGCAACTGTATTCAGCTGGCCAGTCTGCTGGGGGCTCGGCTTAGAACAGCTGGGAGGGCTCGCTAGGTCTCTTCATACATACAAACTGAAACAAAGTCTCCCTTCATCTCTGCTTGCTTCCTTGTTCTACGTAGGACTCCCACATCCCACCCAGCAATGCTCTTCCCCAACCCCAGAAAGTTAATTAGTCACCCCCCCCCCATGAATCTAACCTTTCTTGTGCACTCAGTCCCCAGGGCTCCCAGTCTGGTCTGTCTTTCCCAATAATGATATCTTGAACTTTCTCACAGTGTGGTGGACTCAGGTTTCCAAGAGGAGGAGAGCAGAAGCCGCAAGGCCCCTTGAGGTCTAGGCTGCAGGACCTGCTCAGAGTCACTTATACACACATTGTAGTCCCCACTCTGTCTGAGCGGGTCAGGGGCCAGTCCACACACATTAGGGTGGAAAATGGACTTCCTCCTTAAAGGAACGTGCCCGTCGCCATCACGTGTAAGAGTGTAGACACGGGGAGGTATAATTCACCGGGGACAGTCTAACAAACTGCCACTCCTCTTTTAACCCACGCACAGTATTGTTGTAAGCATCTGTGTGCTTTGTCATGTAGCTACTCCTAAACATTTACACGTTACATTTTTAAAATATATTACATTTTAACATGAATTATGCTCCCTTTCTCACACCTGATTCTTGTCCCCTCGTTTTGCACACCCTGGATTTTAGACAATGGGGACACCAAGGGGGGAAGTGGCTGACATGATTCAAGAGACTGACGAGGGTGTGGAGTGCAGAAGGGCGCGGCAGGAGAAAGGGGACACTGCCACACTGTAGGAAGGAGGTGTCAGCAAGACCTCTGGTTGACTGATCTGGACAGGCCAGGCCTGCTGAGGAGAGGCCATGCCACTGGCACTGTCCCCCTTGCTAGCTGAGCCGTGCACCCTAGAACGCAATGAAAGACGGTGTCAGTTCTTGATTTTCCCAGGGAGCTGTCATTCTTTGAAACAGCCTGTCCCCAGGAACATCACTCTGTTGCTGAGGGCACGGTGATGGCAGGAGGGCCGGGGTTCCTGAGGGCTGGAGGGCATGTGGGCTCCCTGGGACTGCAGAGGGAAGGACACAGCTGAACTGCCAGGAAAGCCCTGACCCTTTCTCTTGTGTGCTTGGTCTCCAAGTACAACCCCCTTAACCTCACAGCGCTGGACTGGTCCCTGCTGAGCAAGAAGGAGTGTCTGAGCTATGGTGGGCGCCTGCTGGGGAATTCCTGCCAGTTCATCCCCGACCTGGCACTGATGTCCTTCATCCTTTTCTTTGGGACATACTCCATGACGCTGACCCTGAAGAAGTTCAAATTCAGCCGTTATTTCCCTACCAAGGTAAGCGAACCGTGCAGCTAGTGGGGACCTATAGTCAGACTCTGGGTCTGTCCAAGGGGTTTCTGTTACTGACAGAATGGACTCCACGTGAACACTAGCCCACTGGGATCTTTCAAGTTAAGAGCACAGACTTCGGGGTCAGAGGGACCTGGGTTCCCATGTTGTCAAATCTCCTGGACAACACTTGGCGTTGTCAGACTTTTCTCTACAGTAGCATCTCATTGTGCTTTTTAACTTTTGTACTTTCCGAAGACCAATAAAGTTAAAAAGTTTATCATGTGTTTATTGACCATATGACCAGTTGACTCTTTTAGGAAGTATCTGTTTACATCTCTTGCACATTTTCTGTTGGGTTGTCTGTTTTCCTGATTTGCAATTTACTGATTTTGGATCGAAACTCTTCTGTAACTATATGTATGGCAAATATCTCCTCCCACTCTGATCTTTTCACTGTCTTCGCGGTATCTTTGATTAACAGAAATTCTTAGTTTTACCATGACTGAATATAGAAAAAAAATTTTTTTAAGAAAAACATCAGACAAAAGATACTCTCTTAGCTATATTCTGAAAGTTTCATTCTTTTTTTCTTTCACGTTGTAATCCATCAAAACTGATTTTGATGTACAGTGTAAGGTGACATTTCTTTGTGTGTTTATGTAAGTTATCAGTTAGTCCAGTACTTTTACATTTATTTATTTATTCATTCATTCATTCATTCATTCATTCATTCATTCATTCATTCATTCATTCATTCATTCATTCATTCATTCATTCATTCATTCATTCATTCATTCATTCATTCATTCATTCATTCATGAGCAAGAGAGAGATTCACAGACAGGCACCCCAGCAGGGTCTTTATGCTGTGCTCTGCCCTCAGTCTCAGGCCTGGATCATGGGCATGGGCATGGGCACAGCCCTGGCTTGCTCAGGAAGGTCTCAGGATGGCGGACAACTTTCCCATGGGCTCAGATGCGTGGCAATTATGCCACCACCTAGCCCCTTCTTTAACTTTTAATTAAGACCACTGTTTCCCCACTGCTTTGCAGTTCTTCCTTCTCCTTATATCAAGTGTTTCTAGATTGTGGAAGCTGTTTCTGAGCTCATTATACTGTTCGCTGGTTCATTTGTATGCCAGAGCCACAGTCTCCATTTCTGTAGTTTACAATAAGTTTTGATAGCTTATAGACCAAACCCTCCCCCTTAGTCCTTTTTTTCTTTTCTTTTCTTTTCTTTTCTTTTCTTTTCTTTTCTTTTCTTTTCTTTTCTTTTCTTTTCTTTTCTCTTTTCTTTCTTTTCTCTTCTCTTTTTTCTTTTCTTTTCTTTTCGTGTGCGCTCGCCAGAAAGACAGAGAGAGAGAGAGAGAGAGAGGCAGAAAGCGAGAAATCACCCCCCGGGGGGATGGCCATACCATGATCCCTTTTCCTCCATTCTCCTCTTGGGATCTTGGGCACGCACGCACATGCACCCAGCCTGAGTTTAAGCCACCAGGTCTGGGACTCGAACTGTAGTCAACTACATGAGAATCCAGCAACATAGCCATTAAGCCAACTGCTGGTCCTGTCCTTTTTCAATAATATAATATTATCTTGACTCTTTGCATTTCTATGTGAATTTTAGAATCATCTTCAATTTTACCAAAATAAAAACTTGTTGGAATTTTTTGGAGAGGTTTTTGCTATAGGGTGTGTGCGCTCGCCAGACAGACAGAGAGAGACAGAGAGACAGAAAGCAAGAAATCCCCCCCCAGGGGGGATGGTCACGCCACAATCCCTTCTCCTCCATTCTCCTCTTGGGATCTTGGGCACGCATGCACCCGCACCCGGCGTGAGTTTTAAGCCACCGGGTCCGGGACACGGTCGACTACGTGGGAGTCCAGCGACATAGCCATTACAGTAACTGTTCTATCCAAAACTTGTTGGAATTTTGGTAGGATTTTATCAGCTCTATATGTCAATTGGGGAAGAACTGATATCTTTCCAAATTTGAGTTTTTTGATTCATGAATATGGTATAGTTTATTTTTTTCGGTTTCTTTCTCTCCAGGTTTTGGTCTTGAGATCTCAAGCATTTTTTTTTAATTTAATTTATTCCTAGGAACTAGGGTTTTTTTATGCTTTTATTTATGCTAACTGCTATTTTAAATTTCATTACCTCTTTGTGGCTGAAATAAATCATTTATTAATCAAAGCAGCACTTGCATATGTAAGCAATGGCTGTGCCACAGAAAGAGGTGGTGGGAAGAATTTTAGCCACCCTTTCCCACCACAAACCCCACAAGCACTCTCCTAAAGCTTCATCTAAAGTAAATCAATATTACTATTTCTGGTCCTAATAATAATAAAATCAAGGAAAGGTGGTAGGAAGGACAAGGATAGCGATTTTCACTTTGTGTGAAAGAGATATGGACAAAAGTTCATGGAAAAGAGATTGAATTAAATAACTTGGAAGTATAAAAGAAAACCATTAGAAGGACCTTAACAATGACTATCAAAGATTGGAATTAAGAAGGGCAGGAGGGCTAGTGTGAGTAAAGTGAAATTCTCACCATAGGTAATGCCTTAAGTTAGTAAAGAAAAATATTGAAGTATAAGCATATAGGAAGTCTTTTTATTTATTTATTTTTTTGGAGAGGTTTTTGCTATAGGGCACGTGCACTCACCAAAAAGATAGAGAGAGACAGAGAGACAGAAAGTGAGAAATCACCCCCAGGGGGGATGGCCATGTCACAATCCCTTCTCCTCCATTCTCCTCTCAGGATCTTGGGCACAGCGTGAGTTTAAGCCACCAGGTCCAGGACTCAAACCGCGGTCAATTACGTGGGAGTCCAGCGACGTAGCCATTACACTATCTGCTGGTCCCAGGAAATCTTTTAAAAGTTTATGGAAATGGACATTATGAAAAACCTATGTATGGATTTCAAAAAATATTGGATCCAAATAAATTCATACTTTAATTCAATTTTTCTATGAACTTTTCAAAGCCCTTGTATTAGTTAATGGCGTAGAGGGAACCTCCAGAACAATCGAGATCTAGCAGACATAAATAGGTGTGTCTAGAAGGTGGAGCCCAAGTGAGGAAAAGTGAGGTGGGGTACTTTGCTTTTCACTGCAAGTTTTCAGAGTATGAGTTTTGTTTTGTTTTCTTTTTCTTTTTTATTTGTCAGAGGGCATGTTCACTCATGGGGTAGGGGGAAGCACTCTCCCACAGGGTGTGGTCACAGGACAGTCCCTCTTCCATTTCTCTATCCTCTTGGGATTTGGGCACCTGCACACATGTGTTCAGTGTATTTTCAAGCCATGTGAGATCTGATTCCCTTAACCACTAGGTCACAGGGTTGGCCCTGGATGTTATTTCTGTAACAGTTTTAGAGGGGAGTGGTGGTGGTCAGAGGGCACTGGTTCATGAAGGGTAGGGAGGCCAAGTCCAGAACCTGGCCTAGGAAGGGCTCCTGAAAACAGAGGAGTAAGAGACTAAAGACTCCTAGTGGACAGACGTTCTGAGAGTAGCCAGGAGTCTTCAGTGGAATTAGGGGCCCTCCTTCCAGCCCAGTCGGGGTACAGCAACCTTTGGGAGCTAGACTTTCCTTCAGAGTTTGACTCTCAGCATCACCACAACTGCAGGGTGGCCTGCTTCAGCATGTCATCAGCCATGGCCGCCATGGCCACTTGGATAACCATGCCCACCTGACCACCACATGCCAGGTATTATAATGTGTCATGGTTCACAGGTACCTCTGAAGTAGGGACTGCCAGCATCTCCATCTTCCAGAGGAGAAAACCGAGGCTCAGAGAGATGGTGTGCTTCCCCAAGGTCATGCAGCTAGCAAGGATTTGCACCCAGGCCTGTTGACTTTGGAGCCCATGCTCCAGATTGTTCTCTGCCGCCTGCAGTCTGAGTCTGCCTGGAGCAGGGCGGGTGCCTCCCTCACTGGCTCACCTCCTTCTGTAGGTCCGGGCCCTGGTGGCTGACTTTTCCATCGTCTTCTCCATCCTGATGTTCTGTGGAATCGATGCCTGTTTCGGCCTGGAAACCCCCAAGCTGAACGTGCCCAGTGTCATCAAGGTTTGCCGTCACCCCATCTGGCACTCTGCCTGCTCTCAGCTGCAGATCCTTCCCCCTCCACTGACCAAACTTTCTTCTCCTCTCAGCCAAGAGTCCATGTTGGCTGTCTGTGGGAGCCCCACCCCTCCCTGCACACAACCTCCCAGGGCTGGTCCTTTGAGAGGGCGGTGGGGACACATTCACAAGGAAATCTTGCTGTGTAGCCAAGGGTCGGAGCAGGGGCTGGAATCCACCCTCTGGCCCAGCAGAAGTCCCCAATTCTATTTGTAGTCTCCAATTTCCTGGCGAACAGCAGTCTACCGGCTGGGTCAACCAAGATCCATGACCATCACCTAGGAACTTGATAGAAATGAAATTCTCGGCCCCATCTGAGACCTCTGCAGTCAGAAATGTCTGAGGGGACACTCAGCAATCTTCATCTTAAGGAGCCCTCCGGAAGACTCTGGGGCACTGTGAAGTTTGAGAAGCACTGCTTCAGAAATTGCCGTTAGTTCAGAGTTGGCGCCATTTACTCGTAGCTGAGCTTCAGCCCTGCTCCCTCACAAGAGTGTCAGCCATCGGGCGTGGTGGCGCCCGCCCTATGGCAAGAGTGTCGGCCATGTAACCAGGGTAGGAAGTCCACATTCTAGAATTAACCCTCCACCTTTGAGGTCCAGACCTTGGAGCAACAGACTTGAGAGCAGCATCTGCGCAGACCACCCCTGACTCTCAGCATGCAGGTCTGAACGGCTGCTCAGTGTCGTGCAGGCATTCCAGCACAAAGGCAGGAGCGGCAGGCACCGGGCCCATCCAAGTCTCTCTTCTTGCCTCCTGGCCTTCGTTTCTGTCCCTCACTATTCCGCGGCTGGTGACTGCATACTCTCCCCCTCCAGCCCTCTGATCCACACTGCCCCGTTTCCTGACCAATCCCAGGGTGGTGGCAGCAAATTGACTCTTGAGTTAGGTTGTTTGAGGATGGGAGACCCCATCTGTGTCACTCCCCTCCCCGTCTGTCTGCTTCCGAGGTCTTTTTAAAGTTGCAGGTACTCAGTGGTGAATGTCTTTAAGGGAAAAGAACCTGCATGGAAAGTGTGCCAGGTCGGGGGAAGGAGGGCGAGGGAGACGGCTGGTGAGCACATGTCCTGGGGCAAGGGAGAGAGGAAAGGGCCCTCTTGTTTGCTCCACTCAGCCCACGCGGCCTGACCGAGGCTGGTTCGTGGCCCCCTTTGGGAAGAACCCATGGTGGGTGTACCTGGCGAGCATCCTGCCCGCCCTGCTGGTGACTATCCTGATCTTCATGGACCAGCAGATCACAGCCGTCATCGTCAACCGGAAGGAGAACAAGCTGAGGGTAAGGCCAGCGCTGGGCCCGGAGGCACTCGCTCTCTACCCACGAAGGCGGGAGGAAGCGGAGGGAGGTGATGCTTCTTTCAGTACTGTGGGCCAGGAAAACATGGGAGCAGAAGACTGGAGTTCCATTCGGTGTTTTGGGGAGAGGGGAGGAAGTGGCCTCCAGGTATGGGTAAGGCCAGCGGGGCCAGGGTGACTTGGTCTGAGGACGAGGCCCAAGCCCAGGCTAGGCCACTGGGAACAGGCCCCTTGCCCTTCCCCAAGGGACCCTGCAGCTCTGTACCTCCTGAGAAAAAACGTGGGGTCTGAGCAGGACTGACATGGGGATCAACCTGCAATGAAGAGGCAGAGGAACGTCCTCAACCTTCCTGGGCCCTGTGGCTCCCCTCCTTGCCTCTGAGTCTGAGAAGACCCTGGCACGCTCTCGGGCCACCATTCCCCACCCCTGTCTGGGCCACTCCAGGCCTAGCCCAAGGCTGGCCCCAGCAAGGCCCCTTATTCAGGAACCACATAGATGCAGTAGACATTGGGAGCCCTTCTCCCCAGTGACCCAGCACCCGGCACTCCAAATCCGAGCATTCCTCTCCCCCATTACCCGTGTCCCTTGCCTGGCTCACCCTTTCAGACAAGGTGGCGACTGAAGCCACCTCTGGGGATGGTGAGGCCCGCACACTGTGGAGTCCTCACGGGGAATACCTGAGCGTGGTGGCCCCCAGTGCCCTCTGAGGGAGCCCTTGAATTGTGTTCTACAACATGGCTGCTTCGGGGCAGAACGGGCTCTCAGAAGTCTCTCCTCCCGCCGTCCCTGCAGAAGGCTGCCGGCTACCACCTGGACCTGTTCTGGGTGGGCGTCCTGATGGCCCTGTGCTCCTTCATGGGGCTCCCCTGGTATGTGGCCGCCACAGTCATCTCCATCGCCCACATCGACAGCCTCAAGATGGAGACGGAGACCAGCGCCCCTGGGGAGCAGCCCCAGTTCCTGGGGGTCAGGTAGGAGGGCGTCAGGGCCCCAGCCCGCCTGCAGCGCAGATGAGGGGTGGTGGCCAGCTGGGGGGAAGGGATACTGGCTTTTCTTACCTTCAAGTAATTTGGGCAAAAAGGCCCCTGCTCTAACAGCCCAGGAATCTGGGCTAGGGCCACCATCCCTGAAGAGGGGAAGGAGGGGGCACTTTTTCTTAGCAGGCTCTGGGAGGTACACACCCCCAATACACATATACCCATGCACGCACATGAGCACCTGGGAGTCTCACCTCCACAGGCCACCGAGCTCCCCACAGGGGACCTTCTTTCTGTCCCACCCTTTGTCTCTTCCTCAAGACACCCCTGGCAGAGGGCTTCTGCCATTCCTGAGATCCTCCTGTGGATCCTGGTCCTGCTCAGTCTTTATTTCTCCAGAAAGTTCTCCCAGGAACCTCCCTGCCCCCCACCAGGCTATCATCCTGCTGTCACTTCTGCTCCTTCACCTGCCCCTCCTCTCATGCCCCAGGGCAGGTCCCCTGGCTGCTTCAGGCAGAGAAGGGCACCTTCTACCCTGGGCCTCAAGGTGGGCATGCAAGGCCCAGCAGGCTCTCAGGGGCTGTCCTGAGAGCTTCTCCACACTGCCTTAGGCTACCTGAGCCACCTAGCCTGCCCTGAGTGAGGCTTCTGTGTCCAACTGTGGGACTGGTCAGGGCAGTGTCCCCTTCCGATGGCCGGGTGTGAGCATTCTGCCCTAGAGCTGGGGGCTCCAACCTCGTTTGGGACTGGGACCGGGACTGCGAGCTCAGGGAAACCTAGCCGTCCCTGACTCCTGCCCTGCCGCCAGCCAGGTCCCTCCCCGGGTCCTTACTAGTCATGCTCACTAAAGAGGTTTCCTCACAAGGGGCAGGGTACTGAGCACTTGGAATCAGCCAGCTCCTGAGGTGGGTGCCGTTATCCTCCCCATTCTGCTGAGGCCCAGGACACTCAGGGCCTTGCCTGGTAACACACTAGTAAGTAGCAGAGCCAGGACTGGACCCAGTCCACAGGGCTCAGCCCCAGCTGTTAGGACACCAAACGCCCTCATCCCCGGCGGGGGCTCCCTGTCTCTGACAGCAGCTCAGCTGGGCTCAGGCAACAAGGCGGAGGTTGATCAGAAGCTCCTTGAGGCCATGGCCTTGGACACAAGTTTCAGGGGTCCCCAGAGGGGCAGAAGGGCTGGGGACAGCTGCCGAGCATCTCTGGTACTCCCTAACCAAAAAGGGAACAGAGAGTGACGGGCATCATCGTCTTCATCCTGACAGGAGTCTCTGTCTTCCTGGCCCCCATCCTCAAGGTGAGGCTCTACTCCCCAGCTGGGCCCTGTGACCTGAGAAGAGCTGATGTCAGGGGGCAGGGAGTGTCCAGAGATCCCAGGTCCATGGGCTCCTAAGAAAGGCAGGATATTATTAGGCCACAGTGATGTGTCCACTTCTTCCCCATCATTTTCTAAAATCTAGTGTCCTTTGTTGTCATCCCAGTCCTCACTGCATTGGCGGCTAAAATCCGGCGGCCGTTTCTGTAAAGAATCGAGAGGGAAGCGGAGGGAGAAAGGCGCTGGGTTAGCTGTGTGTGCACAGGGAGAGGCCAAGGCTAACACGCCCCAGACAGCTCCCAGAACAGGAGTTCCAGCATGTTATCCCCTGTCACACTTCCCGTGTAGTCCGGCGTTACCTGTCATACAAGCTTAGCTAGCTCAGTGTTGCTCCTATCCTCACGCTTTTCCCAAAATTATGCTGTGCGCCTTTTCCTCTCACATTTATGTGACATTTATGTGACATTTATGACCCTGTTGTTGTTCTTATGAGGACATTACATTTGTGAACTCGGCCTCGTGACCTCCATTGAGGGAGAAAGGGAAGCTACAACGTATTCTCTCTAAGCTATACTGTTTAACAAAATAATCTAAACATCTGTGAGTAACTGTTAGGTTGAATAACATTATTATAAATTGCCCAATTTACCCATTACGTTGTGTCTCTCAGGAACATTCTCATCTCCTAAGATTTCTCCCCTGCAGCCTCCACCCAGTTGCATTCTTGTGACCATTATTTAAAGCAAGTGACTCAAGCTCCTCTTCTAAGCAAGCAGCCTTTTTTATGACCGTATTTGTTATAACAGCTACAGATTACGTTAGTTATAGAAGCTGCAAATACCAGTTAACTTATTTAAAATATAAGAGAAATAAAATAAAGCAAAGAAAAGGGTTAAATAATTGTTTTGTTCCCCCCCCCCATTATAATTGCTCTCTCCCATCCCTCCTTCAGTCCGTTCTCACATTTCTGAAGGATACTCTTCCCTCAGAAAGTTCTGCCAAGTTCTACCCTTGCTGGGATCAGAACTTCCTGCTAGGTGTGTGTCCTTGCTGCTGTGATGTGTAGTTTGCTCACGGCTTCCATTTCCCAAAGTCTAACGTTTACAAGGGGAGGCTTCCTGAGCTCTCCTCCAGGCCTGTGTGCTGTCGCTCTGTCCTGCAGGACTCGGGCACCTAAGTGACTTCCCCCCACACACTCGAAGCTCCTCTTGCTCATGCCCAGTTGGAAAAGATCACATCAGTTAGGGGTATGTTCGAGGCAGGTGTCCCCCACAACAGTCTCCTTCTGTTCAAGAACGGAGTCTTCCCAGGGCTTCTCTGCTCTCCTAGTCAGCTGCCTGTCAGTTACACTTGGCCTAGGTCAGTGGCCAACCCTTTCCTTTCTTGAATTAAACTTAACTGTCATCGGCTCGTCCTTTTGTCCCCTTCGAATACCTGGAAACAGCTCATTCATTCAGGAATGACTTTGTACCAAACAAAGACAAGCTAACCTGTGATGCTAACTCATTTGTTTACAACAGAAAATAGTTCCGCCTCGGGAATTGGCGCTGGACACACTTGAGCAGTCGGTTTGAGATTGGGCTTTGTTTTTTAAGTTTGTTTATTTCTTCCATGAGAGAGACAAATGCCCAACATACCACAATCCACTCCCAGCCTCACCAGCCTGGCGTGTCCAGGGAGGCCTCAGGACAGACCTAGGACTTTTCCTTGGGCTCCAACATCAGAGTGTTGCCTTCCACTGCCCCACCATCTGACCCAAGAGATTGGCTATTTTTTACGAGGTCTCTGTGGTGCAGGAAACATATCCCACAGTTGGGCAGGTACTTTGTTTATTTAAAAATGCATTTGAGAAAACAGAGGGTGACATGGAGGTTAAGGTGCTGGACTCTCACATGACCAACTTTGGTTTGAGTCCTGAACCAGCAGCTTGCTTTCTTGCTATCCCTGTCTCCTTCTGGTGAGCACACGTGTCCTGAAGGAAATCAAATCATAATATTAAACAAAAATTTAAAAATAATTCTTTTTTAAAAATAAATAATAAGGGGCCAGCAGGTGGCATGGTGGTTAGAGGTAGTTAAAGGACTCCCACATGGTCAACTACTGTTCAAATCCTGGACCTGGAAGCTTGCTTTTCTCACTTTGCCCCTCTCTCTCTGCCTCACTCTGGTCAAATTTTAAAGATAATAATAATAGGGACCAGCAGTTTGTGTAATAGCTGTGTTGCTGGACTCCCATGTAGTTGACCGTGGTTCGAGTCCCGGACTCGGTGACTTAAACTCACGCCGGGGGCGTGTGCGTGCGTGCTCAGGATCCCGAGAGGAGAATGGAGAAGAAGGGATTGTGGCATGGCCATCCCGCCTGGGTGGTGATTTCTTGCTTTCTGTCTCTCTCTCTCTTTCTGGTGAGCGCACATGCCCTATAGCAAAAACCTCTCCAAAATAATAATAATAATAAATGAAGTTAAATAAAATATTTTTAAAAAATAAGTAAATAATAAAATGTATTTGAAGTGGTGAGGGAATGTTTACTTTTTGTTTTTATTTTATTAATTAATTTATTTTTAGAGATTTTTGCTATAGAGTACATGCACTCTGGAGAAACAGAGAGACAGAAAGCAAAAGAAAAATCACGCTCTGGAAGGATGGCCATGCCACAATCCCGTCTCCATTTTCCTCTTGGGATTTTGGGCATGCACACACATGCAACTGGTGTGAGTTTTGTTTTTGTTTTTAATTTATTTATTTTATATTCATTCACTGAACATCATTATAGCATACAAAATGCAATTTCCCATCCAGAATATATTGTATATTGGCTTAATCATACATGTTATTGGGACCAGCAGTTAGCATAATGGCTATGTCGCTGGACTCCCACGTCATCGACCATGGTTTGCATTCCGGACCTGGTGGCTTGAAACTTATGCCGGGTGTGTGTGTGTGCGTGCCCAAGATCCCGAGAGGAGAATGGAGGGGAAGGGATTGTGGCGTGACCATCCCCCCTGGGGGGTGATTTCTCGCTTTCTGTCTCTCTGTCTCTTTCTGTCTGGCGAGCACACGCGCCCTTATAGCAAAAAACTTGTTAAAAAAAAACATACATGTTATTGTCAGCAATTTTTCATTTCTTGTTTCTTATATATTTTTTCTTTTCTTTTTTTTAAAGAATTATTTTATTTAACTTTATTTATCTATTTTATTTTATTTTGACCAGAGAGGGACAGAGAGAGAGAAAGTGAGAAAGCCAGTGACCAGGTCTGGGATTCAAATTGCAATCAGCCATATGGGAGTCTAGCACTCTTAACCACCATGCCACCTGCCCCCCCCCCTTTTTTATTCCCTATTTCTAACCCTCTGCCATTTCCTACCCTCCTCCCACACTGTCTCTGGTATCTACAGTTGCTTTACATTCCTTTTTTCCCCCACATTTTATTGATTCACAAAAATATTTTAATTAATCTAAATATTTTCAATAGCAAGTTCAGCTGATATATACACATCTGTGAACACATGTCTGACTTTACACATGAAACTACATGAGGAGAATAGATATACTATAAAGTAGTGCCTAGCTGAGCTATATAGCTTCCTACAGTTCTTGAATAGGTATTTTTAAATATATACATATTTTTATTTCAAGAAAAGCAGTTTTAGCTTTAATAAACCAAAATGAAAAAATGCTCAGAGAAATTTGCTTAAGACTTACAGCCAGGAAACAGGTTAGGATTCTGTTCAAATAGTAGGTACATGAACCTATCAACAGCTCAAGAGAAGACAAAAATTCTTAGATCTGGAAAACAAAGCATAGGGGAAAATCAGTAATTTTTTTTTTTTTTGGAGAGGTTTTCGCTATAGGGTGCGTGTGCTCACCAGACAGACAGAGAGAGCCATAGAGACAGAAAGCGAGAAATCATCCCTACAGGGGGGATGGTCACACCGCAATCCCTTCTCCTCCGTTCTCCTCTTGGGATCTTGGGCACGCACACACACGCGCTTGGCGTGAGTTTTAAGCCACCGGGTCCAGGACATGAACTGCAGTCGACTACGTGGGAGTCCAGCGACATAGCCATTACGCTAACTGCTGGTTCCCAAATCAGTAACGTTTTAATCAAAAGTCATAAAATTCTATTTCACCAATTCAGACGCATGTACTTAGTCTCTCTTCTGTTGTGGTCCCATCTTTCCATTTAAATTCTGGAAGATAACATTCAACTCTGGACTTGTCCCTACCATTGAGTTGACCATTTTCTTGGTTGGTTTTGAACTCTTATTCTTGTGTATCTGTATTTAGTTTTTCTGGGGTAGCACTCCCTTCAGCACTTCTTGGAGTGCTGGTCTGATGTTGGTAAATTCTTTTAGGTTTTGTTTATCTGAGAATGCCTTTGTCTTCTCTTCCCATATAAAGGATAATCTTGTTGGGTATAGTAATCTTGGTTGAAATTGTTTTTCCCTTAACACTTTGAATGTATTTTCCCATTCTTTGCTTGCATTGTTTCCGAGGAGAGGTCTGCTGTTAGCCTGATGGGATATCCTTTGTAGGTAACTTGACGTGTCTCTCTTGGCAATCTTAGTATCTCATCTTTGTCTGTAGTTTTGGTCAATCTGGCTATAATGTGTCTTGGAGAAGATCTTCTTGGGTTGATTCTATTTGAGGTCCTTTGTATTTCTTGGGTCTGGATCTTTGAATGCCTCTCTAGAGTTGGAACGACTTCTTGCAGGATTTCATGGAATAGATTATCAATGCCCTTATTAGTCTCTTCACCTTCTGGGATACCAATTATCCAGATGTTTGGACATTTAATGGTATCTAGTATTTCTCATATATTATTCTCATTTCTTTGGGCTAAATTCTCAGTCTTCATGGTGAATTTTTTCTAGGGTAGAGATTCTATCTTCTACATCTGATATTTGATCTTCTGCATTATCTAATCTGCTTTCAATACTTCCAAGGGAAGTTTTGATTTCCTGTAATACTGCCTTCATCTC